TTTTCAGAGAAAAAGGCGATGATCAAGAAACTGGAGATCGTGAGAGTCCAACCGGCAAGAGGAGCAGGAAGGCTGGTCGAATACTCAAAAGTCTTGACAAAGGTATGTAAAAATTCAGCATGGTAAAATGTAGCCAGTATACTGTGTTTTCCATCTTGGTACAAAGATTAATTGAGCAATAGAGCTTCACATAAAGTAAGAACAGCTCCTACGATCAAAGTCCGTCACTGAAGCCTAGCAGTGAGAATCTGCCAGATTGAAAAGCAAAATGGTTTGCATGATTTTGGCACTTGTTCTTTTAGAGGCGCGTTCACAGCACCTAGTCTCCCTTCTTCCTTCACTAAACCTTTACATGTCGATGAGATAGATGCGGCCATTTTTGTAGGCTCGCATGCTCTTACATTTCTGATGCAAGTTGTCCCAACTTGCTGATTAAGTTGCATGAGGGCATTAGTCATAGCAGTCAATCCTTTCCAATCAGCGTGCAGCGAGTTCGTTATGTTTAGGAACATGAGGAACACCTTTCATATGAATATAACACAATTTGTCCGTTTATCAAGTATAAAGTTGTTTGCATAATATCGGCGATGAAAGCGGACCTCATTTTTTGATCAGTGAGACCTCTTAACATTGCATCTTTACCATGAAGACGTTTCTTCCTGCTGTCAAAGAAAATGCATTTGTTTGCTTTCGCTAGTTAACTTACTAAAGGCCGGAAATACTTCTGCAATTTGCGTCGAAAGAGTGCTAATCAAACGTCTTCATGTGCAAAAATCACTTCATTGCTAACTTTGTAATTTTTCCAGAAACACGTGAAAATGACCTCTTCATGATCCAGCTTCCAAGCATTTTGAAAGTTATAAGCCAGGAGGCTCCATCAGAAGACAAACTTATCTTCCCGAGTGAAAAAACAAATGGTGATACGAAGGTATTCGACTTTTCAAATCGCTCCTGGAAAACCGCTAGTGTGTTGAGATATGATATCTTTCGATTCAAAACTATGCCTGTTTAACCGTTTATCCGCCCAATAATATCGTTTCAGTTCATAAATACTAATGGTGCTATTGCTTCTGAAAAGCCTACGGTTGAGCAGCTGAAGCTGCCGGCTGGTCGCAAAATTGGAAAACTAGTGGTTACACGAGGAGGTCGCGTTTATCTCCGAGCAGGTGGTCACGTCATGGATGTAGCTCACACAGCTTCGGAGAACCAGCATCAGGTGAATGACTTTGTGATTTACTTCCCATCCTTGCACAACTTTACTTTCTTTTTTGAAGAGCGTCATAATGATTGAGACGGCGAGGGATGTGCATGCTATGCAAAATGGATGTGGTCGGTTCGGAGACTCAGCAATGTACAGAGATGGTTCGAACGCTGTATACTACTTAGGGCAAGTACGACATCATCTGACCGCATCCCTCGATTGGAAGCAACTTCGGCCAGTCGGAATGGAAGTATGTGACTTTATGATACAGCTCTCATTATTCTTTGGGCGAATGCGCAATACTCGGCCGGCACATGTGGAAGCGGCTCAAGCTGTGATTTGTCTTTGGGGAAGAAAGCAAAGGGGATATTGTTTGCGGAGTCTTAGCTGAGCCAACTGCAGAGAAGTACATCAGCGTTGGGCCCTGCGTTATAATTCGACAGACATTGTCCGGTTTGAACAATCCAAGACAATGCCATTGCGTACATGCTCTAACCGATTATTGCTCAGCGAGGTATCAGTTGTGCTTCTAACAGTTAAATGTCT